CAAACAGACCAAGACTATATTTCTGATCGGTACTGTGCTATACTTACTACACATGATGTATTAATTATAATATTATAAACCCAAAGTTTTTCCCCCCAGGAACTGTTTCTGCGCGCAACTAATTTGTTAAACACAACAAAAGCCGCGAGAGCAACAAAGTGGTGCTACACTATATGGTGCTACTTATGTTGCAAATAACTTATCCATCAAATATATATGTGTGCATGTGTGTGTGTGTGTTAACGTATTGTATGCGTCAGATCGTTTATTAGGATACAACATTGCTTTTGTTGCAACGCATTTTCCATAAAGAAAACATTTTCATAAAAAACTTGAAACGATGAAGACCATCCTAGTGTTTCGAACACTTCAATGTTTTGTTTATAAAACACTTGCTACACTCATTCCTAGAACTCACACTTTAGCAAATGTCGTCTTCCAGATGTGTTCGCTTGCTCCTTTCTGTTTGATATTTTAACAAACACGCACACACACACACGTAGCCGTGCTCATTTATGTACCTACTCCTGTATATATAGATTTATGTTGCTTTTATATGAAATGCGCTACATATTGCTTTTAGTTTTATTTATTTATTTTTTGTGAGAGTGTGAGGCGTGGGTGTGTGTCTGTTCCTTTTCCTTTTTTGTTTCTTTCTTCGCCATCCTTCCTAGTCACCATCCTCACCATGCCCTCGAAATGTTGCGCTGCTACTGCTAGGACTCCTCTTTTGCACACTCATCCGCTTTCACAACTTATTGAAATATTAAAAAGGATGATATTAGAATGCCACACATACATAAGCAAGTAGCTGTCATACGTGAGTGCGTGCTTCCGTCCGTCCGTGCGTGTCGCAGTGGTATGAAATCAGATGTGTTATGTGTGAGTGTATATATGAACGGTGGAATATTCCTTACATCGGTATGACTTATCATTGTCACACATTGAAATGTTATTAGAAAAATTAAATTCAAAGCTGTCGGTGTTACATTCCGTTCACATTCCCCACATCGGAGTGACTGATTGTGCACGCCTGTAAATGTAAATGTGAGCCAATTCAAAATAATGTTTCCTGTTGATTTACAGTCACTTGCCATCTAACACTACCGAATGGCTTGGTGGTGGTCTTCGAAGGAAACACCAACCTGTTATAATTTTGTTGCAATTTTCAATTTCAATAAAACGTTAATTATGACTTTCCGAAGTTACTTGAGCCTACAATAATTCATTTTAGACAATGCGTAGACTGAATTTACGTATGTTCAATTGAAACAGTACTTTAAGTTGCAATTGGTCATACTTTTACTTGTTATGCCCTCTACCTCTATAGGTGGCATATTAACACTGTCATTCCGTTTTTAACTCTTCGAAATACTTATCAGCGTAAAATTTTAAAATTCTGTATGTTTGTTGTAATAACACTAACTTCCAATCGAATTTAGATAAAAGGCTAACATTTTGCACATATGTGTATTTTGTCAGTAGGCGGGTTAGGTTCGTAAATGGCCCATATTGGACCATGATTACGTATAACCCACGTATAATTTTACCTCTCTATGTAAGGTTTTTTGGGACTTTAATGGAATTCTTTAAAATTCGATACTTATAGTCTGCTATTCTTTATATTTTGGTATTAAAACTAGTAATAGATAACAACCACTGTAGCAGGAAATCAATATTTTGCAAGTAAAATCGCTCATGGACCACTATTCAATTCCGATGCTTTAATTTTGAAAGTTTGTCCTAATATCTTGGTGGAGGGTATTAAAAATTTAACCCTACGTAACTTACTTGTTAGTAAGTGGTTTTATAAAAAATGATACAAAAAACATCCTTCTGACACATAGATGTTCATACATTGTACCAAAGAGTGTACTTTTTTTATAAAATGAGCATAGGATTCCTGTATATGGGAAAATACGAACTAAAAAGTATTGAAAGTTTTGTACCAAAAATTAAAAATCATTGCTCCGTATATATGGAGTCCATGGATGAGGTCAGAGTTTTTGGAACAAGGAAATATATATTAAAGGCCGCTACCATTGAGTCGTTCTTGGAACGTTCTAGGAATTTAACAAGAAAGCAATATACGGGGTGAAATGAAAAAAACTGCAAACAAATTTAGACTTCTGTTATTTCTAAGCCACTCCTCCGACAGCTGTTAAAATTTTTTCCAGTGACAGAACATTATATTATTTATAAGCGTACAAAAGAATTTTGGTGAGAAAAATCCAGAAAAAAATTTATTAGTGATGGAATTCAAGCGTGATAGTGTGATTTCTTTATATTTGGTTGGAAAACCACAAATGGCTTTCGTTAGAGCACTCAGCATTTAAATACCGTAATACCGAGAAAATATTCTGGAGGGCATATTAAAGCCTTGGCCACGCAAACATTTTGGCCGCAGACTCAGCACCATCGCACTCAGCACGCGATTAAAAATAAGGTCCCTCGCTTCATTTCCAGCGCACAATGGCCATCAAAATCTCCGGATACCAATTCGTTGGACTATTGTGTCTGGAGTATTTTGGAAAGCAACGTTGGTACTAAAAATATCAAAGTGGCGATCACATCAAGTAATCGCTTCACTAAGAATGGGCCAAAATATAGCAGCAACATTCGGGCAGCGTGTGATGTATCAAATTCGTGCCAAAGGTGGCCAATTCGAACAAATCTAAAGTTATTTCAAAATTTGATGATATTTCCGACTTTTTTTGCTTTCATTCAATAAAATTAAAAAAAAAAAAAATGTAAAAATTATGTCGTTTAACTTTGTTGCAGATTTTTCTAAGCCTGTATATGGAAGCTATTGTTGCAAACGAACCGATTTTCACTAATTTTTCAAAGATATGTTTCTTAGCTAAATTCGGTCGGATGTGCTAGATATATATATATATATATATATATATATATATATATATATATATATATATATATATATATATATATATATATATATATATATATATATATATATATATATATATCGCATACAATTTCATTTTGTGATTATTTTCGAAGAGGCAACACCATTGTTTCGCACATCAAAACAACACGAAATCCAATCAAATGTGTGATTTTAATGTACATATAAAATAAAATTTTAATTTATAAAATGGAATTTCAAAAATTAATACGAAATTCCGGTGCCATCTAATTCAAATAAAGTCTACGAAGAGTGAAGTTGTACAAAAAGGTTTTACACAAAGTTGTATCGTTTGTGGCCGAAGCCTACAACTTTGCTACCCTCTAAGTTGTAACAACGGTTGTATCGTGTGTGGCTTGCACAACGACAGTTTACCACAGTATGGCATAGGGTATGCAATACAAAGTCTTAAGAATTCCGTTAAAAAATCAAAACTCGAACGAATCAAAAACACCCAATTTCTGGAGGTACAGTTACAAGGACCCTACTTTGCGAGGATGTTTCCTATATACTCAGGACACAACGCAGAATTACATTGCAGCAAAATATGTTGATAACTATGACTTAAATCCAAAAATAACTATTTAAATATTGCAGTATATACCAAGACGCAGACCTATATGACGCTAGTACCACAAATTCTACGGAAATAAAATACATTTGACTAAAATTTTTCCAACGTATTTCATTTCAATTTATGATTTACTTTGTTTATGATTTAGTTTTTATTTATCTTGCGAGATGAGCTTAATGATCTGACATTTGCAGTGAAAACAACTTACCACTATGCGACGGGCTTCGCCGTTGGTTAAGCGGCTAATCAGGCATATTTGGTGTGGATGATAGTTTACGAGGGCCGTTCTTTGGAAAGTAGTTTTTATTTCAAATTCGGAAACTAAAGCGATTTACTTTAATGTTTTTTTCGAGGAGTTACAAGTGGTATTTTTGTGCTAAAATTGCGTTTTTTAGGTTCTGCTTGATAGTTTCGGACGCAAAAAAAAAAAATACGCAAAAGCCTTATTAATATAAGATAATTTAATAAAGAGCAATGGATCGATACAATTGTTCTTTTCGAAAAATTTATTAATATTTAATTTCGTAGCAAGAAGATCATGTGAGGTGTAAAAATATCAAATATTTAAAGCCCACTTATATTCAAGAAGTTGAGGAAACTAGTCTGAATTTGGATAACCTAAAGTTTTTTTCTGAATACATTTGAGAATTGAAAAAGTGTTGTTAAAATGGCTTCCTTCCAGGTAATGATGTTGTACTTTCCTGACTTACTCGACCACCTATAAGAATTGAAACTCTCTAAGATAGAAGTCAATACACCAACTTTATGTGTGTAGCTTCCTCCACACACCATGTAATTGTGTGCGTCATTCATATATCAATTAAGTCTTAATTACATCCCTATAATCTATGTGTTGTGTAGGCCTCCATATTATTTTTTTTGTTGTTGTTGTTGCTGTTGTTTTTATTTTATTTTGGATTTATTTTGTCATTCAGCTACCAACTAATTTTGTTTTAGCCTAATCAGCTTTATTAGGCCTATAAAGACCAGTTGTTGTAATATATTCAACATCGTTGATGTGCATATGCCTTTGTGTGTGTGTGTGTGTGTGTGTGTGTGTCGGCGTGCTCGTGTTGTTGTTATGTATGCTGGAGAATAAATTTATTTGTGGATCTTCATCATAAATCAAAGTAATGACTCTACACAAAACGAATAACAATCTAACAGATGTGTGTTAAACAGTCTGCTCTCTACTCCGGTGACGAAGCATTCGGTTACAATATTTGTGGCACCCACTGTAGTGTGGGCCCTCTTATGGCGGTGTATGATGATGACTAAACGGGCCCATAGTTTGCATACACCAACAAAGCATATGGCCATGTTTTCGATGCTCTTAAAATATTAATGCATTTATGAAGTGAATATATTAAAAAAAATATACGAATTTATTATGAGTTGCGTTGTTTTAATTTACGGCAAATTTACAGAGTGTTTGAAAGTGTTTTATTTAATATTTGTTTTTGTTTTTTATTGTGTCTCTTTGTCTTTTTTGGCATTTAGTTGCTCCAACACATGTCGCCATATCGGGCAGCAGCGAAGCACGAGTGGGCGATGTAGTGCCGCTTACGTGTACCACAGCTCCATCAAATCCACCGGCTGAAATTAAGTGGACGGTTGGAGGGCGTCAGATACGTAATGCAACGTCACGTACTGTGGTCAGTCCCGAAGGTAAGTAACGACAATAAAGATGACGAATCTGCATATAGACGAGCATTAACAAATTGCCTGATTTCTTCTTAACCGTTTCATTTCATGTTGCTGGCGGAACGACGATGACGACAGGTGGATGGATTACCATTTCGAATATAACGGCAGTCATTGAGCCCAACAAACGTTCGTTGGTTGTCATCTGTCATGGTCTAAATATGCAGCTCACCGAGAATGTTGTATCCACACACACAGTAAATGTTCTATGTAAGTATCCCTCACCATATACATACAAACATATATATCTTCAAGCTCAATTAACATACTTACCTAGCCGAATACGACGACGACAAAGACGACGTATTTGAATAACTTAAGCATAATTTGTAGAATCTAAAGTGTGTTTTTGGATTACTTGATGTAATCATCGGCGAGATTTAATAACTGTGTTCACAGAAGGAAGTGTGCGCTATTGAAGTCATTATCTTTTTATTTAAGCGATTTAAACGCTTTTGCGTCGCTCTACATTAATGCCTTTCATGTATCCGCATAATTAATATGTAATCCATTCATCCGTGTGCCGTGCGCAATGCAGTTGCCAAATACTTAGTTAATAATTACTGTAAAATGGAAATTTACTTAGCGCTTATTCCTTGGGATTCGAAGGTTGTCATTTCGGTCGTCGTACCAAAATATGGAAAAAATTATGTGCGGTGGTTTGTGTTCTATGTAGAAAGCCGATGGTGCTTAGAACATATTTTGAATAGCAATTGAATTAATGTATATAAAATTATATTATGTAACAGAATATATGTCGTAACATTGTCATAATATTATATTTTTGTGTGTTTTTGCAATCGGGCATTTTTAATTTTCATCCCCTACACTATTCTGAAGAGAGGGTATAATTAGTTAGTGAAAAGTAAAAAACCTTTGTACCATAGGGAGCATCGTAGCTCAAGGAGCTGAGTTCTCCATCCTGAAACAGATTTTTTTCTGAATTTGCAGTCGCTCTTTAGGGCACAATTGTAGACCAATCAAATTGGAATTTAGCATAGGGTTAGAGGTTTGGAAGCAAATATTTTTGGGGTCAAATGGATCATAGCTTTTATGTGAAAACTATCAATCCCGAATATCATATTGATGGTGATTTCATTGACGTATATAGCCAAATATGCAGAATGTGCACAGGAACCTAAATTTTCAAAAATCAGTCCGAATTCCCATGACAGAGGGACAAATGCCACAAAAATTTGAGTAGACTAGTGGCTTCGTTCGGAAATCGAGATGCATGAAATATTCTTCTAAGGAACGTAGTTTTTTGGAAAATATTGTTTCAGACCTATGTGAATTGCTTGGACGGAGGAACGTAATAGTGACGACCTTTGGATTTTAAAATGGCTATTAATTTTCAATAGTAGAAAATAGGCGAAAATACCATGACAATTGTAATTGTTACCTTTAACTAACGAGGTGGAGGTAAAAAAGAAAATAATTATCAAAAAATATTTTTAATTTTTTTTTTTTTTTTTTTTTTTGTAAAATTTAGCACCACATTATAAACTATGTCAATTCACCAGTTAAAGGTTAGTAGTCCTGTATCCCAATGTAGTGAGGTTTTCGTTTATTCTAGTCAAAAGTGGGTCAAATCTACAAAAAATCTGCAAAAGCTTTACCGCAAGTTAAAGTGGTGTAGGGGAATCACATGGTCGGACCCGCCAGCCTATTTTCTTTGATTAGTTGTTTAATTATTTATTTTAAATAAATAGATGTGAAAATGTGTCCCTTCTGTGCTCAAACAAAAGGCTAGCTTAAATCTCAAATGGGATTAAAACTAATCGTATAACCAAGGACACAATAATTATTGTTTACTGTTGAATTTTATCCATATATACGGTCAAGTATTATGTCATACACACATTTTACTAAGCCGCCTTCCTGAATTGCTGTCTAATAAAATGTTAAAATGATAGCATTTATGGGTGGCTTTCCCAATCTACTCCTGCGCCAGTGTTACAAGTGATGGGTCCCTAGTGTTTCTCTGCAGTCCATGTCAAATTAAAAATGCCACAGAGCTGATTCTAAAATGTACTTCTCGGAACTTTAAAAACAACATCGAAAGACCTGGTAGTTGCGTATTAAAGAAATAAATTTAAATGAGCTGAGGTGTGGCGTGGTTAGTTTTGCTTCAAATTCAAATTTGCGGTGATTTTTATACATAGCCTCTCTGAGAAAGGAGCGATTCATTTTAGCTCGTAGCTGCTAAGAGACAAGTGATCCGTTGGTTATTATATGTGCTGATATTGAGAGTAGAATCCAATATCCTTCTTCGATTGTCAATTCTATTCTCTATTCGGTTGTAAAAAAATAATGCAACCGGTGTAGATTCAATTCTTAGTATTTGGCTCGAAGTACCAAATATAAAAAGTGAGAAAAGAAAGAACAACCTTATTCTTTGGAAAGAACAACCTCATTCTCGATTCGGCTCGAAGGACCAATGTAAATGAGAAGAGAATCCAATCTCACTCTTCGATTGACAACTCTATTCTCTATTCGGATCCTGCTCGGAGGGTCAATGTAGAAAATGAGAAAAGAAAACCAACCAAATGGTTTGGCTGTTGATTCAATTCGAGTTTTTATTTAAAAATATGTTCCCTAAGTACTACTGACTCAACCTAATTTAACCTAATCGCAGGCACACAATTATTCTTATCTATTCTAATATTGAATGGAAAACATTGCAGGGCTGCTTGATTTATTATCTCACACATTATCGTATGCGTCAGCCCACAAGATCACCGAATGGTTCGCATGTGGTATTTACTGGGAAATATGAATATTAGAATATTTATTGATCATTGCTAGATTTTCCCAGCGCCTCAACCGCACTCAAAAGTATGTACAATATATTTTGTACAGTGCTTATTACTATTTTGGTAGATCGACCCTTAATTATAACTTCAAATTAAAAATATATAATAATTCTTATTAATTTGTTTATTTTTACTTTCGTAAAAGAGATTTACTTCGCCCCTCAACTCGAATCTTATAATCACTGAGTAATGAAGTTTATTGCTGTATCCACTCAATTCTTATTATTCCATGATTCTAGCATAATTTTCTTTCGTAATTACTGTCGGTGATAACAGAATGTTCTTTAATTAGGACAAAGTTATCTATTTTTTTGTCATCCTTTATGCGTGATTATATCATAAGTAATGTATTGTAACTGTCCAAACTGTTACATAATAATAATGGGTAATAGTTTTGTGTGAATTAAAAATTATCATGCAGACAATGACAGCATTTTTTATTCTTATATTGGAAATCAAGTATTTTATATTCTAATTAAAAATGTTTTTATAAAAAAACAGAAAATTTTAAAAAATCAAGAAGAACAGACAGTTGTTAGCCTGTTGGCATCGTTATATAAGACGAGAAAGTGGCCGATCATGAAATGATACTTCAAAACGGTTTGTGGAGCTACCTTTGTATTTGACTGCTCCAATGCACTGACATTCAGTGCTTTAATAAAATTAGAACAAGAATATTTGTTATCAAAAAAAAATCGTTCAATTGAAATGTAAGCTTTCAATTTTTGAATCAAAAATCATTTTTATATAGCTTTGCTTCTTTTCCTTTTTTTCTTTAAAAACTCACAATGAATGACGACATGCCGCTGTTTGCGTCCAGTAAATGGTAATACAAGTAGGTAATACCGAAACGGTTGGGAAAAAGCAAGCAAAAATTTTAATGGTTTTTGACGTTTTAATATAACTGCTGCAAAAGCTCCCATCCTTGTTTTGTTTCGTTTCGGGCCAGCACAAATCCATTGTCGCTGCTCTACTTTCTGCAGAAGGATATTATTGCTAAAGCTAATTGCAGCTATGTCTATCAAAGTGCTTGCAAATGAGATGGGTTGTTTGCCATCTCCCTTGACAGGGTTGTTGTTGTTTTTGCTGTTGTTGTCAATTCGATGATATCCAACACGCTTCCACCCTAATTTCCCCGCTGTTGTCAATGCATTTCCGCACTTCCGTGCCGCACCAAAATGAAATCATTAAAACGATAACTTCTCACTGCCTTTTTCTCAAATTAGACTGAAATTAGAATAAAATGTGATTTTTTTTTTGCTTTCTGCTCCCTACACAAAAGTGTCGTATTTAGCCAACAAACAAAGCTATGAACGTTACGTAAATTTTTCTTTTTATATTTCAAATTTCTGTTGTTTCCCAAATGTTCGTTTTTTTGGTGAATTCATTCTCTAGGGTTTTTAAGATACTTCTCTGAACGCTGTTTCTTAGTTAACTCTTTCTTGGCCAAACGAGCCATTTTTATGATCACTTTGCCTAAACATTTAAGACCCCATTTGAGAGGAGGCCTTTTTGCCTTTTTTATTTGCTTTTGTTTTTTTCTTTCTTAGTCTTCTCAACTCTAATGAAGTTCCAACGTTGATTAGGCGTAAAAAATTCCGTCATACGTACGTACTCCTTCGAATGAATTCCGAAGAAATGACAAAAAAAAAGCCATACATAATAAGACTTAAATCTGGGTAGAATGGCAGTGGCAGTGCGTTGTTGTTATTGCCGTTGTAATAGCTTCTGTTCTACGGTTGTCCCCCCTCTATCCGTTGTTTAGTTTGTAAAGGGTTGAGATGCTTTCGCCTTGTTGTTATTTCGCCTGCTGTAAGTGCCATTTCTCACCATCCCTGCCGACATTTCATCGCTCCCATTGTTTGCTTATTAAATACAGCAGAGTTTTAGTTTTACACTTGGTTAAGTGACACAGTGTGATGGGTGTCCTTAGAAAGTAAGTCACACATACACGCACTGTGCATGTACGTAGGAATGTATGTATTTGTGTGCTTAAAACAACAATGAATTCAACGAAAGGCGTGGGAGTGTGGGAGAGGTGCCAAGCAACGACAGGCAGGGAGAGTGGTGTGTCGTGTCGAAGTAAATGAATAGAAAAGCCAGTAATAAAACAAGAGCAAATTATCACAGCAGGATCTCGGTTGATGCGTCTGCTGCTGTTGCTGTCGCTACTGCTGCTGCTGCTGCAATAAGCAATACTTGTATCATAAATGGCACAGTTGTCATAATATCGGCTACATTGTTGCCATTTCCCTGCTTTTAATTCTGCCCTATTCCAGTTGTTGTCCCTCGTGTATTCGCCCTGTATTCGCAACAATGTTGAGATCAACAGCAACAACTTTGAAATAATCTTGGTTGGTTAGTTGTAAGGGGAAGTTAATTTTGTCTGATATG